GTTTTATGAAAGGCAGTGCTGAGTCATGAATGACAGCAAGGAGACAAAGGGTGATTGAAGGTGAAACAGAGTATGCACAGAGAGGATTACCAGGAAAAAGCCTGCGCTTCGTATTATCCCTTCCATCCTTTAGGGCGTCACAGGAAATTATGTGCCTTGGTTTTTGAAAACAGTGTGTTGTAGAAGCTCTGCATGCTCTGCTCTTGGTTCATTCTGGATGCTTTGCTGTGAACTAGGACAGTGCTGATTAGAGTTAGACAGCTCATAACCCTATTCAGGATTTTTCCCCTCAAGAGGAAAAAAAAAAAAAAAAAAAAAAAAAAACAGAAAAAAAAAAAAAAAAGCTGATGTAATTCCCCAGGGCTCCTTCTTTGGCTTTGCTATTGCATAGCTACACAGTCTCCCAGAGTAATTGTCTTGAACAACATCCCAGCCCCCCCCTCTAGACTGAGGGACCTTCTGGCTGCTTTTCCTTGCCTGTGTTTTCTGCTTTATGTAAGGAATGAAATGAGGAGAGAGAAATCAGAAGAATAAAAAAGGTGATGAAATTTTCAGTTCAGACATAGAAGGTACATTCAGTACTGGATGTCAGAGGGAAATCTGAGAAAGTAGCTTTTGCGTTCCAGACTCTGACTTCTCTACTGATGGGGTGAAACCGAAGTGGGAGGCGGCGAATGACAGGCTGCTGATCCTCTGCAGCAGAGACCCTTTCCAACAGTATCAGCCACGCAGAGACTCCGTTCAGATCCTCTGCTTCCTTTTCCAGCATACCACACCATCCTTTAATTGATTCTGAAAACCTGCTTCTTGATCACACCCACAGGTCTCGTAAATGTGCTACGGTTAAATTCGTCTTGGCCTGAAGGCTGAAGGATCACATATAAATCCGAGCCCTTGTCTGAACCCCCAAAATAGGAGTCAAAAAAAACAACAACAAATCTGCTTTCAAATAAGCAGGAAAAAACAGACACACTAAAGAAATGGCTTAAAGGAGCAAATGCTGCATTCCCCAAAATCTGTGACCACTCACTTTAAAAAGGAACATCTGAGGAATCAAAGGAGATACACTCAGATTTGGAAAGCCAGTCATATTTGAATGTAAATAACTGTTTATGTACTCGTGGGGGGAAATAATTTTACAGTGTATTACAAAACAGCTTGCTGCCTCCGTGCCTCTTTTTTCCACCTGAAAAGTAGGTCAACAATCCTTATGGCTTTGAAAAGAAGAAATGAGGAACGCTTGTTGAAAACAAGCAGGGTTTAATTTCAGTCGTAAACAGAAAGAAACATTATCTCTACCTTTTGTCTGTGAGATTTCAGTACGTAGTGAGAAGTCAGGCACCACTGCGCGTTGTGTGGTGTTCACACCAAGAGCCAGCTGCACCCCAACTTTTCAGTACTCTGCTTCAGTGTCAGTGCAAGCGGAGGAGTTGCAATATGCAGCCTGCAGTGAAATAAAATCAAAACCTCTTTCATGTGGAGTAAGGGGGAAAAGGGAGCAATGGGCTAGGACAGCCTTAAAAACAAGGAGCTGTTTGGGAAAAGGAAGACGGCAAGGTGACCAAAGGATCTGATGATTCAGCATTTCCCACTGTAACCACATAGAGTATTACAGAATAAATGGGATCTTAAACTATTTATGGATGCTCACATCAACGCAACAAAACCCAAAAAGGAAAATTATAACTACATTTCTTACCTTCTCCTGGAATAGACGCCCACCAAGGGCACTATGGTCTTTATGTAACCAAGTCCATCAAATCTAAGAGAACCTGTATTTCCCCTGTGATAAAAAGCATTTGTCTTTTTAAAAGAATAGAAATTGACATATTTTAAAAGCAGTGATCAGATACTGGGAAGGCTTCTGTTTTCTACTGTCAGGCAACTTCCAGCACCAAATGTGAAGCTCTTGCCTGCTGTGGTGCAGCAGGAAAGTTCTTTACAGAACTAAACATGTTAACACTTATGCCAGTGCACCCTTACACACACATGCATACAAACAGTTTTATCTATAACCATGACTGATGCAGTTGAGTATTTTTCTTTTTAGTCTTCTGATAGCTTACAGAGAGTACTTTATTTTACTTAAGCAGGGAGAGAACGCCTAGGACTCTGTGGTTCTGGCCTCCCCACTTCATTCCATTACACAGTAACTGCTCAGAAAAAAAATCCTGGGCAAAAACTGAAGCTTATTGATATTCTAGCTTAGATAAACAAGACTGCATATGCATTAGTAAGGCAAACTGAATAATAAAACCCCAAACAATGCAGGATAGAATAAATGCATTTTGTTAAGCTATACAATGAATTTTCAATAGCCTTTTAAAAAAAAAAAAAAAAAAAGTGTTTTATGACTTTGGTTGAGATTGCAAGCATTAGTGGTGTTTGTAATGTGTCCAGTGATTCTGGTGGATCCTTGTCAAATTGCAGCAGGCTTTCCATTTGGATTTTCTCCATCATTAGGTCTTATTTTCCTGTCAGTTTGCCCATTTTGTCATGAGTTTCTTTCAGACAACAGACTGGGCAACATACCTCCAGCAGCAAAAGAAATCAAACAGTCTATAAAAATAAAAATATGTTTTAATAATTATTTGCACAAAAGATGGTTTATCAGAATGTATAATATGAATGCTGGACTCATACTAGCCATTTCAGTTTTCTCAAGCACACAAAAAAGCTTTGCTTTTCCTTATTTTCTTCTTAAAAAGAGTTGATACACTAGAATTATATTTAGGACTCTTGAAATGTGTTAAAACAGCCCAACAAAAGCTAACTTGCCAAATTCAGCTGTGATGCAAGTTGCGGTTTAAGCTGCATAGCAAGTTTAAATTAGTAAGAAAAGGGGTAGATGCTAACGTTTTTTCACCGGTGCCACTCTAACACTCAAAGCTAATTCCAAAAGCTTTTAAATCACACCGATAAATTCTCAAGGGCTGAACTGACCGTGTGTTAATTATGGACATGATTATTGTTTTAACATCAGTTTACACCAAGCCTGAACTTTACCATCCCTTTTTACTCGCTTTTGCTGAAACACTGCTGTCGTGGTTCCAGAGTCATTTCTTGTATTAATCTGTGCAATTTTCTGAGATTACTGGAATGGCATTAGATTAGGTCAGCAAAGAAACTGGCCCTGTGCTTGTATCCTAATTTTACATCCCGATGAAATACCACATCACTCACATCAGTCTGACTTTTACCCTTGGAACGAGTTTCACAGCGCACTCTTGCAGCACAGATTCACCACACCGTCACTGACTTTGCTGTATAATCTGTCCCAGGGTCTCCAGAGAGACATCCTTGAATCTGTTCACTTCAGGCAGCATTTATGGACTTTGGCTTTTTTCTTTTCTTTTTTTTTTTTTTTCTTCAGTGAATACTTAGAAAAATTTTGGGAAAGACAAGAATCAAAAGACAAGTATCACAAAGAAATTATATCCCTTTTTTTGTTGCTTTGACTAAGGTTGTAGAGGGCACTGCAGCTCTATCACTCCCAGAAAGGTCTGTGATGATGGGCAGCTCAGCGCACCGTTTCTTCTGCCAGCTTCTTCTGGGCTCACGTGGAAGATCGTGGTGCAGAGAAGCTGAAGTGAGGTTCACAGATTTTGGTACTGCACAGGGCAACCAGCACAAGGAGGGCAAGATTGCTGTTTCACAGATACGCGTCAGAGGAGTCACCTCAAGCAGATGATGGGCGACAGTCCTTGCCATGATCTGGTGAGGGAGGATGCAACCTCACCTGGTCCAAACACTTTTAACCTCCCACTGCTTGAAGCCCCCAAATAGTTCAGGTGAAGCAGTCCCGTGAGGGATTTTCCCTGTCCTCAGCACACGAAGCAGTGCACTTCTTAACCACCATTGCAATCAGGACTAGAAGGGCATTCACGGGCTGTCTCCCACGTTTTACACCAAGGTTCCCAGAGCACCTTCCCTTTTCCCCACTTCCGTATTCTGCTCCAAAACTTAGAAATACTCTTAAGTAGCCTTTTGTGAACACAAATGTAACCAATTGAATGTATAGCTTTCTCGGCATCAAAACACAGACTTCAAGCCATTTTTGCAGCACCCACAGCGTGATAGGTTACTGGGGCGCAGAGCCACTAGTTACAGAAACATGCAGTTGTTCTGCCCCGGTTTGGTTTTGAACCAAAGCAAGGAGACTGACAGCGGCACTCTGACACGCTAACTACTCCCCAGCTCGAATTGCCTGCACACTGAACAGGAAAACCCGAATACCGGCTTGACCCATGACAGGCCACCAGGCAGGAGATGAGGCCCAGGCTGCGAAGGGAGCCCCGGGGCGTCTGCCAAACCCGGCCTCACACAGGCGAAAGGGATTACAAACCACTCTTTGCTCAGTTTTCTCCTTTATTTTCGTAAAACCTGCCCTGCCGCCCACAAACCCGCCTTGCTGCGGAGCGAGGCGCGGCGGGTGAGGGGGGAAGCCCCGTGCTTGTGGGGGCAGGGAAGATGGCGGCCACCCCCTCACCCCGAGGCGCCTCATTTTTTAAGGTGTTTTTTTTGCAACCTCTCGGCCGCCCCGGGGTGGCCCGTCCCCGGCTTCTCCGACAACGCGTTTTAACACCGCCCGCCCCGGCTGCAAAAAGGAAACTGTAAATTTAGACGGTCTGGTTGAAAAAAAAAAAAAAAAAAAAAAAAAAAAATCGCCTCTCGACGAGGCGGGGGCGCCCCCCCACCCGCGCTGCAGCGGGGTCACGTGGTGCCGCCCGGCGCGGGGGAGAGGGGGGCGGCGGGGGGAACCTGCTCTTTGTGGCGGGGTCAGCGGCAGCTCCCGCCGCGCCGGGCGGGTACCGACAAGCCTGGAAGAGAGGGGCACTCCCCGCGCGGGCCTCCCACCGGGGACGGAAACACGCCGGGCGTTGCGGTGTGGGCAGCCCGGGCGGCGGCTTGTGGGTGCTGACCCGGCCCCTATGAGGGGGTGGGTTGGCATGAGGGGGTTGGCATGAGGCGCTGCCATCCTGGCCCCTCCGCCGTGGAGCGGGCAGGGAGAGCCGCCTCACGCCCCTGCGTGGATTGCCCCCCCCCCCCCCCCTCACACAACAGCCTTTCGCCCCGTCTTCCCGGGTTTGCAGCTCCGGCCCGGAGCTGAGGCGGTGGGTGGGTCCAAAGGTAAACAGAGCGCCGGATTATTTCTGGTTGCTGTAGGGGAATGCAAACGTGATGAAATCCTCTCCGCAGGCTCTGCCTCCAGGAGAGCAGTGAGCAGTCAGATGGAACCTCTCGAAGCATTGCTAAGGTTTGACCCACTGAAACTAGCGGAGAAAAAAATACTATTATATCAGTATCGATACACAAAGTGCCCTAATCCCCGTTACTTTCTTTGCCTGCAGGAGAACTTTCTTTGATTTTTCTCTCCAGGCTTAATGATCAATTAAATAAATACTAGCTTCAAGTCACCTTTCCTACACTTCCTTTCCCTTCCCTCCCCCATCCCTCGAATTGCAGACATCTGTTTCTGGCTGCCTGGGTTAAACTCTTCCCTTTGAGCCTCGGTGCTCAGGGGCCGGGGCAGGGAGAGGCTGGGGGAGGGGAGCCTGGTTCTTGTCCTTTGACCTCTGTTGGGATAAGAAAAGTGGGTTAAAAGGTCAAGGAAAACAATTGCAAGGCTCCTTTTGCTTGAATAGCATGCCAAATAAACTTATGCCGGGGATTTGGAATGATCCTTTTATGGGAATTTCTACCTCCTTCGGGATTGTGCAGGCTGACTTTATGGGAGCTGAGGGCATGCTCAATTATTTTGGGGGGAGGAGGCGGCAATGCTTGAGCTCTTCTCGGCACCCTTGTTTGAGGACACAGAAATGCGAGGGAGGAGGAGGGCTCTGCAGCCTGCTTTAACTCCTCTGACCTTCCCTGAAATTTGTAGGCTAATGCATTGGCTTCTTAATTTTTTAATCATTTCTAATCTATAATGTGGGTGTTTATAATCAGGGTGAAAGAATATGGGGCCTGGCTTGCTTTTTACACAAAGTGTACCACTGTGACTCCATTTACTAATGAAATTGCTGCTGTATATGAAAGCAAACATTTTCCTAACTCTCTATAAAATAGTATTTTAGTATCAATACCTGCCTGGTAGTCATATGTGCTAGAACTTTCTTTGAGAAGAGTCTCTATAAGTACATTTAGTTGGTCCTACACTGTTCAGATTTTTACAGAGTAATCTGGCAAACAGGCACCTTCGTAGAGGAATGAGTCTCTTGGAATAAATTTACATGGCTGATAATTCTTAAGAGCTTTTTGAAGAAAAGGATGGATATTTTTTTTAATTAAAAATTCCACAAAATATTTCTTATGTTTAATTTTTTAGAATTTTAAAACAAAGGGCATTTTTCAAAAAACTTCAGTTTCTGAAGGCAGAAAATCATCTTTCTTTTTTTTTCGAGTCAGTTTTTCATCTAAATCTTTGTTCTTTTTTCCTTGTTGGTAAGCAGTTCTGGACAAACCCCCAGGTGCTTGCAAAACTGCACTACGGAAACCACTCGGCATCGTCAGGCGGTTCCCACCGGCACCGCCGGCCTTCGATGTCAGCCTTTCCTGCGGGGAATGCGAGGCGGCCCCACCGGCCGGAGCAACAGGGGGAGTGCTTGTGAAAGGGAACCCCCAGAACACGGCAGCCTCTGTGAGTAGCAAGACTACTTTGCCATCTCTTATACACGTGGCTCAGGGCCTGATCTACCAGTTGTACCAGTTAGCACGATGGGAAAAAAAAAAAACAAAACAAAACAAAAAAAAAAAATCAGCCTATGTGGGCAAGGGACTTTGTGTAGGCATAGTTATAGACTATAGTCAAAATAGGCTAATGTACATGAGTCTGGCACACTGAATGTAGTACACGCATAGTGGGACCAACGATTTCCTACATTTGCGTGTGTAAGAATTCATACTGGGGTTGTGAGCACAGTTCTGAAGTGCTGGTAACCCCAACAAAAAAAAAAAGTCCTTTTGATGTAGCGAATTGGTTGGAACTATTGGATGAGGGAAGAGCTGCAAAAACTGGTATATCAAGTAAGCAGAAACTGTGCTTAGTTAATTAACAAAATTAATTAAATCAATTAACTTTTTGGATAACAGTGAAAGTAAAGTAGAAATTACTTCAGTGCTTTAGAGTGCTGAAGATACCTCTACTGCCTGAGTGTGGATGCAGCACATAGACATCACTCAAATTGTAACATACATTTGTATTTTTAGTAAATTTTCCTCTTAAGAAGTGAGTAGTTTGTTTACATGTAGTGGGAGATCCTGAAATAATAGAGGCCAGTATTCTCAAACACTTCTTTGAAGTATGGATGCACGAATCGCTGCTTCTCTGTTTTTTTGTTGTTCTGGCATGTCTGTGTTAGAAAATATTGCTGCAGTCATGCATAAAAGCCTGTTGTAAACAAAACTTTCACGACACCCAGAGAAGGGTGCTAACCTCAGCACTGTTCTGACAACTCCTGCAGGTTCTGTGACAAGCCATTACGTTCCTGAAGGCGACTACAAAAGATTGGGTGGGCTCATCTTAAACTAGGGAGATCCAGGGTAGGCTGTTTCACTTCATCTCATTGCCTGGCCCATCATCTGTGTTTCTGTACAGAAGAGTAAGTCCCCGCGCCGGGAGCCCTCTGGGGAAGTTGCTCACTGCTGACCCCAGCAGCAACGAGAGGGCTATAGGGTACCCCACAGGGCCTGTAGAGACACGAAGCCCCTTGGGAATATTCCAGTGTCTGGGAGCAAAACTGGGGCTCGTGGGCGGGTGGACCCCACCTGCTTAGGCACGGGTTTGAGAGAGTTGCCATGGGGAGGTGGTCATCAAGCCTCATCTCTGCCCTGATTTACCGTCCAGTGCATGTGTGCAGGCTATTGTTTTATTGTTCTTGCTCCTGAGGATAAAAAGAGGTTCTTTGTCATCCTTAGAGCGAAAATAATAAGTTTAACAGAACAGGCAGTCATCTCTTTTGCGGGGGGCAGTGAAAATATTGCCCTTCTGTGTGAAATTGCAAAACAGAGTAGATCTGCTGGGAGCAGGAAGGGCCCAGTTGCGTGTCGTTGCTGTTCACCCAGGGCTAGGAGAAAAATAGTCCCGTCTCCTTGCTGTTGCTATGGGAACTTTTTCAGAGTTCTCACAACTCTTCTTTCAGGGCTGTTGGAACAATGAAGAATGTTGAGCAAAGAGTATCAACCGTTATCCGAAGCATTTTAATAAATACCAAGCTTTAAATAAAACTGCACCACCATCAGCTCTTGCCAGCTCTCGTCTAATTACTGTTGCAGCAAATACGGTGGCTTTCCAAGAAATCCGCTGAAGCTCCCCACTGCTCTGTTGCTCATCCTTTTGGGTCACCTACCGAGTTACATTCTGCCTTGCGGTAAAGCAAATTCCATGTGTGTTTCCTCACGATGATGCAGTTAATTTATTTACTCTAGAAATTCACTGAAACATTAGAATAGAAAGGCAGATGGTGTGGACTACTTGCGCAAGTCAGAGTCAATTTGTTACTCTCGGCACTGGAAACTTACTGTATTTGATACTTCTCAATTGATTTGCTTTTGTGCCCAACTCTGATCTTTAATGCATTAAAACTGGACTTCAAGTGTACTCATGTATTCTATCATAGAGCAATTGATTTCTCGATCCAGTTGTTCCTTCACCTTAATTCTTTATAAAATGGGCCACATTTTCGACAACCTACATCCGGGAAGCTTCTGCAGCACAAAAGCCACGACATCCCTGTGGACAAAAGTTGCTTATTTTCCAAATACGAATCAGTCACAGGTTTAAGTCAGGACATTTTTTGGTGTTCTCTCAAGGGGAAATTGATATTTTTTTAAATTATTTTTCCAGGATTCACCCAGTATGACAAGTTTGTGACAATTTTATAACTGTTTCTTCTTAAGGTTAGAATTAGTAATGTATCTCTAATTTTATGCAACATCATGAGCATGCCTAGTGACATCATCACAGTACTGACCTGTTGCACTAAAACCGAATACGTTTTCACTATTAGATTTAGGGAGTAAGAAAGAGAAAGGGAGTTTTTTGGTTTTCATTTTAAGCTCTCCTTAAGATTGCTTTATTCTTTCAGAGAATGGAGAAAAAAAGGACTAATTCATGATATAGATGGTAAAAGGAAACCATAAGAGATAAGTATTGAATGTGAAATCACGCTGTTCCTAACCGCAGTTTCAGGGGTGCGGGTGTGAAAAAAGAATTCATGTTACCAGAATAAAAATGTGTGATTCTTCTCTTAAAAATGAGTAAAAATGGAAAGCTCTGTATTAGTACCATTTCTGTGAGTTTGAGCTTAAATGTAAAGTGTGTGGTTTTATGCCGGAGAGTATTTGAGAAAACACTGTTACCAGCTGCCGGGCTACAGTCTCCTTCCTAGGCTTGTGTGAAGGGCTGCTGTGAAGATTAGAAAATTATATCCTTCAGCTGCAATGTGCATAGGTGCACACACTGTGCTATTCCTTGGCTTTCCACCATTCTTAAATTCAGGCAGGGAATGAAAAACGCGAGACTCTTCCCTCCCATCGTTTCAGAGGAGAAGAGCTCCTGCCCTCGCTTCGGCTGCGCTCTGGAGCGGGGAGCTGAACGCCTGCTTGCGTCGCAGTGGCATAATCCTGCTCGGGGGGGAAATTAAAACTGAAGTTCATGAGGAGATCTGTTAGAAATGAATGGGCCAAGGGCTGCTGTTGTGTGGAGAGTAAGGCCAGGTGGCATTCTGCTTCAGAGAGCTCCCGTGATCTGGGAAACAGTATGGCTATTGCCACCACTGTTCAAGGTGGCCAAGTTACTCCCTCACCACACCGTGCAGCTGATGTACATTTCAGTCAACCTTTCTACAGGGAGCAATAGCGTAATCAAGGGTTTCACTCTGTCCTCATCTCTGGCACCCTCCAGTTGTTTTCCCACACTGAGGGGTGGGCTGAGTGCTAACTACACACACCAGTAATTATACGCAGGGACAGGATGAGGCAAGCAGTCTGGTTGCACTTGGGTTGGGAGAGAAAGGATTGGTGGGAAAGTAAAAATCCTAATAGTGCCCATTCCTACTAAAAAAAAAAAAAAAAAAAAAGAGATTGTAAACCTGCCCACATCTGTGCCAGCACACCTCCTTTAAGAGCCCACCTCTCCTCCCTTCCGCTGGGACACCAGATGTCTCAAGTAACTGGGAAGCGAATGGCTTTGCCCAAGAGTTGCATCTCTGCTGGACCACCTCATGGCTGAAGAGAGGAGAAAGCAGAGACTGCCTGGCACCCTGAGGGCACGGGGTCAGGTCACAACTAGCTTAGAGAGGCGGAGAGAAGGGAAAACGAAACTTAACTCACAGTTTCAGCTCAGCTGCACACGTTTTGTGCTGTCAGAGATGAACAACTCTCTTCCAGTCCAGAGTCTCAGCCTGACAGGTTCTGCTCACAAGATTTAGCTGAAACAAAGTTAAATGCATCTGCTAGAGGGGCAGAGAGGGAATGACCCATGAGGCCAAGTTCTAAAAAAAACCCCACTCTTATATGAGTGTGGTTGCTGCTGCAAGGTCACGCAGCAAAGGAACATTTTCCATCCTGACATTTTTATTGTAAAGGTGGTACAGGTATGTTCCAGAATCAAGGAGCAGGAGAGGTAGGGGTGATTTCAGGGCAGTGTTTTCAGAAACGTGGCTATCCTCGGCAGCAAAAGTCCCGTCCACTGCAGCAGAAAGTAAATTACACCAGTGCCGAGTGCCTTTGAAAATCCCACTTAGTCTGGCATTTAATTTCTATCAGTGTTGACAGCAGCTGCTTGCATATTTATTTTTTATTGCAAACTCGTCCTCTGGTCTCTTTGCATACTGCTTTTTTTACCAGCAGTCAGTGTTCCCTACCCCATTTAATCCTGTTCCTCGTCCTTTCTAACTTTCATAGCAATGGATTCTACTTATCCAAGCTCAGTGCATTTTTTTTTTTTCAGAGTTCATCTATATCTATTGTTACTGTATTTTTTTCATCTCTATTAAAACACAATGTTGAAATATATTAAAAATTCAATTGGAAAACATGTTGGGAAGTGTAGACACGCCCTTGGAACAGAATTTAAAAATCCAGTAAATTACAAAAAAAATGTTTCTGTAAATTCTGGGAAAATGAAAAAATAGGGATTTTCTGTGAATTTCACACTAACCACATTGTGATCTTGAGTTGTTGAACACATATGTAACATCCCTACAGGCGATTATTTTTCATACTGTAACTCTGTTTCCAGCAGTAATGGACAACAAAGTTCACATTTTTTCCGATCTGGAGGAACTTCTTACTTTAAGGCTCTAGAGTCTCAGAATAGCTCAAATTACTTGTATTTCTTTTGCTACTCTCTGTTAGTACTTTGAGTCAGCAAAACAGGAAATGTCAAGGGATTGTTGAGGTATGCTCCAGGTATAATAAATGAGTAGAAACAAATTCTCATCTGTTCTGTGTATTAAGAAATCTCTGCTGGATTGAGGATACACTGGTAAAATTGAAGGACATTTCAGGTATTCTCCAGATAAAAGAGAGATTACGGTTCAGAGAGCAAACTAATTCAAGGGCAGACAGATGAGTTCTAAAAGTAAAATACACAGTGGAAAATCTTCCCTCAACTACCAGACTATGCATTAGCTAGACTTAGGTTTGCAAAGAGCAGTTTTTTATGATGATCTAAATGCACAAGAGATCACCAGGCAAAACAACTTTTCCAGGTGAATCTGTACTTGGCAGTTACAGATTACTGTAGATCTCACAGAAAAGAGTTTAATTTGTAGTTTTGGCTCAGATTCCCCCACATAGTTATCTCAAAATTAACATGAAGTCTGTCTACTAGGGGCAAGTAAAGCAGACTTGCACTGGACTGAGATCATAATTTGGCTTGTGGTCTCCTATTTAGACTAGCCTTGAGGTTTGCTTTGAATAAAAAGAACTGAGAAATTATTAAGGAGAACAAAAACATGTTCAACAACAATAATAACCATCATATAATTATGATGTTTTCAGGAAACAAAAAAGTTTACAATGTCCACAATCCTGGAGTTTAATTGATGAAGTTATATAGCTGCATGTGAATAAGAATTTACAAAAAAATAAATAGTATCCACACTGCTATATCAGTCATCTGGGCTATGGATCAACCATCCATTGTCTGTACCTGATACCGTTTCTTTAGCAGTTTTGTATTTGTGGAAATAGCAGTATCTCAGCTAGGGTAAAGGAACATCTCTAAAGATCTGAACTTCTAGTGATTACTAAATATGCATAAAGACAGAAGGGTTTTTTAGTGGTTTCATTTACAAGTAAACATGTACTTAGCATTTTCTGGTTGCTTCAAGTGCAGATGAAGATCCACCTTTGTTAAAAACCTTGTTTAATTTCTGTTACGTGAATTTGGTACTATCATCACTTTTGGTCTGGTCAGCAGTCACTGCAAGTGATGTCTCCTTTTTTCCCGATGTTCTGTTGCAGCCATAAAATTGATCATTGACAGTTCTGAAGTTGCTATAGGCAAATTAATCTATTGCTTTTTTCCCCTTTTCTGTTTAGGAGCCTCCAGAAACAGATGGCAACACTAAGGAACTGAGGACAAGGTAGCCAGTCCTGCACTACAGAATAGCAGTTCTCTATTCCCCTGGCCATCCCATCAGGTCATCATCCTCAGTGAGTGAAGGTAAGGTGTCTACAGGTTAGTAAAGATGCTTCCCAGCATCCACAGGTGACTGATTCAAATACTTCCTCTGCCACTCATTGCCTGTGAGACCTGTAAAGAATTTAAGCTCAGCTTCCAGAACTCCTTAGGCATCTACATTAATTTCTTTCAAGGCATGTGTTAAAATAGAAGAACAAAATAGAAATTCCTTCACAAAGGGTCATTCAGGCACCAAGGCATGGGCTGTGAACGACAATGCTACACAGGCACCTAACTCAGACCTATACAGAGATGTTTAAACTTCAGTATGTCCTGTTTGATATCTTAGGCATCCCCGCACCTAATGTGTTGTCTGGGTGACTCTCACTCCCAGGCCCTTAGCCATTCATAAGTACTGGGAAACTGCAGCGTAAAATTTTGGCTTTTTTATTGATATTCTAAGAGCCACCCGAGAATCGTCATGATTAAGCCCCTTTGAGAACTGAGTTGAAGCATCTCTAGGATCTATCTAAACTCTAGAGCAGATACACACCATATGCTATGACCTAAAGTGCCGCCCTTTAAAGTGCAAAGCATCCAGACCAGTGGATCTGTTAGAGTACTCCATGGCTGTCTCCCCAGCCAAGCACTCAGGTTTTTTTCCAATTGGATATCTCTTTGGGGGAAGGGAGAATAATGTGTATTCACATCGCATGACAATATGTTTTGGGGAGGCGTCTGAAAATGAAAACTGAGAAGCTATTCTAGGTACTTAGATATGCATCCTATCTCTATTCTCTATTGCTGAAATGAAGAGAATAGCAACTTTCAGTATATTCAAACAGAAATTTATCATATTTGTGACATGAGGATAATTCCAATGAGTACTGTAAGGAATTCAGGTACTACAAGCTTGGCCTCTATCACTTAGCCTTGAGTGCCGTATCAAGTTTTGACAGCTTAAATGTGAAATGGATGGCCTCTTGTCCTGCTCTTTTCCCACCTGCCTGATCTAAGATAAAACTATCTCAGAGCCCTGGAGAGAACTATATGCAAAGGAAAGACTTACAAATCCAGATGTTTCTTTCAGATCTTACATCTAGTTATATGGAAGTTACTCTAGCTGATTAATTACATTTGTTTCTGCTACCTATGTGTAGCATTCAGCACAGGAGTGGGAGAGACATCCTCACATTGGTGAAATTATGTCTTTGTTCATCATATCTTTTGATTCAGATTTACTATCAAGATATTGCCCACTCAAGGGTCAGGAAGTTCTGCACCCCATGTTAGGCCTACGGGATCGCACTTCTACTGTTGGCTGTGGCTTGTCCCCAAGGGCCAAGTCAGTCTGTAAAGATACACCTAAACTGCACCGCAGGTACTTTCTGCTGTGTATCTGCAGCCCCACATCATACCATCTGAGAAACCTGCTAGAGCATGCACAAATGATTTTAAACATGAAAGAGGAGAACTGGGAAGCATAATGGGATGGTGAGCATGCTGGTCTCTCCCAGTATGCACACGGGATGCAGCTGGAGAATGCTGACATGCCTGAGCAATTGGGAAGTTTTTATATTTTTATTTTTGGGATCTTTTATGGAGTTCCATAGTTCAATTGTAACCTAAATGTCTCAACGTAGGAGGGTTTCTTGTCAGGCCCTTCAGTCTGATATTCTTGGTCCTTCTCCCGTATGATGTTATCTTATCTGAAGTAATAAGAGACAGGAAAAACCTGCAGAGGGACACATGAGGCAATGAAGAACCACACACCACTAGAAGTGCTCATTGTCTCAGTCTTACCTTTGGTGGCCCTTGTCTCCTGTTTCTGTTCTTGTACGAGGGAATAGCTCTTTGCCATTGTCTCTGTCCTCCTGCATGAACATCTAGCAGACATGTCTGTCTCTGCATGATAATACCGTTGTGAATCTTCCTGGAGTTCTCCAGCCTGAGTGTGGGATTGAGGGCTCCTAACACAGGCATAGAGAAATACAGCTGAAATGATAAAATTTGCTCATCTGTAGCAATTTAGCACAAAATGACAATTTTAAATGTGCTTATTCAAAAGGCTGTCCTGTGAAGACCTAGTAAGTTAAAAGTTAATTTGCTTCTTCAAAAATGGCTGTATTTGCAGCAGTTTTCTTCAAACAGCTCATATCAGTCAGATTGTCTTTACTCCATCCCAAAAAAAATGCCACAGGTTGATTACATTTCTTCAGAAAAGGAAGGGCAGTCATTCCCAGAAATATCTGCGTTAATTACATGGTTTCTGAGCTGCAACACTATGACTTATAGTTCAGTGGTTGCATAAACTCCCCAGTGAGAAATCTGAACAATATTTAATTAGCCTGGTCCTGCTGTGTGATACTCCAAACACCCTGTTTACCCAATTAAGACAAAGTTGCATGATCTTACTGTTAGTAAGTGTCTCTGTATACTAAGCCTTGCAGCTGGAAACTGGAAATGTAAAACATATCTCTTTGTAACTCTTAATTGTGCTATGTCTAAATAACACAAAGCAGATACAGTGTAAGAAGGTAAGAAATCCTTTTCATAACACCTGGCTAAAACATCTGCATGATGCAAAGGAGGCTCAGCTAGCAATAGGATTCAGGTCCATGGCATGTTCTGTTGCAATAAAATAAGACAAAGGACACTTCAGTTGAGAGTGTAGCTCTCAAAATATGCCCAAGAAATGGAACTTCAAAATAAATACACTCTCTACCACAATAAGCATGAGAACTGCTGTATGTGAAATGTACCTGAGGTGCACTTGTACTAGGAGACGGAAAGGAAGGAAGGAACCGCTTAGTGTTCATGTACCTCTTCTCTGCATGCACCAATAAAATGTTTTTGTCCTAAATTTAATAAAAACATAGAGAATATTCAAGTAACATAAGGCAGCTTTTCCAGAAATGCTCGTTGTATTAATGGTGAAATAATTGTCTCGCTTATCGACAAGATAGTCTTAAAAATGTCTTTCACCCTGGAGATCGTCCCATCCAGAAGGGAGACTGCAGAATATTGAACTGCCTCAAGGAGCACAGCAAACTGCAGACCTGCTCTTCTGACTCTACCAGACTCTACTGCAGTTTGCTTTCCTTTTGCCAAGGAAAGGTTTTGGCTTCAGCCTCCATTTTGCTATTATTATTCCAACTGTGAGCTCCTGATAACCTCACAAAAATCTAGTAGTATTCTTCTCTAATTGTTATTTTAAAGTATAAGATCTTTAAGGCCTATTTCAGTGTTTAACTATACAAGTAGGATACATTCTTAGTTTTCTTACACAGCTCTGCAAATAAGTTGAAACTGGAAAATTTGGGGAAAAAAATAGGAAAAGTTTGGTCCATTTGATTTTCCAATGCAAAATCAAATTTAAAAAATCACCAAAACGTAAAATTCTACTTTACATCAAAAAGCTATTTCCAAGCAACTCTAATAGTAACATACACACCAGAAATCAAGAGCGTGAGATCACACAGAATCGTGCTGCATCAACATCTACGTGGAAAATCTCAAAGGAAAATCATGGTCCTTTCAATAAAATCCAAGTGATTTTATCCCTGCGCGTTGAAGAGGCAAATTTGTAGGATGTTTGCAAAATCATATTACAACTAAAGAATATTTCAAAAGCTGTATACTTTACTTTTTGCTTATTTACTCCAGAAGATACCTATGGTACTAATCTTTACATTCCAAGAATTTTCTTGATGTAGATGTGCATTGTTAGTTGTGCTTTGTCCCAGAAGTCACTCTTTTCCAGTGATGGGGAACAGATATGTGTGTGTGTGTGTGTGGGGGGGTGTGAACTGTAGACTCATCCGCTGCCCAGCCACACTAGTTGAAGTCATTTGTCGTAGGTGGCAAGACAGCTAGAACTTAGGTGTTGCCATAGCCATAAGCAACACGCATGTATTGCTCTAGTCCTTCCTGCGTTATGCAAGTTCCTTTGATCATACCGATGTCTCTCTTTAGAATCGCTCTTACATGAAGCCAGAAGCAGCCTGGCAGCATTGAAAAGGTTGGGAAAAACAGCTGAGGCGGGGAGGGAGCTCATTGTCACCAGCCTTTGTAGTCTGCAAAAATTGTTTGGCTGATATTTACATTTTTATGAGGGACACTTAAAACTGTCCCTACTAGGTGGGTGTAACACTAGTGATGTGCATAAGCATTGATGACTAATGCTAGGAGGATGCAGTAATCCCTAATTTTCTGCAAATCCCTGAAGTGAGGAAGAGCTAACCAGATTATAAAATCCTGTCCTTTCTAAGAATCCAAATGAAAATACTTTCTAAAGATTTCATTATGTCTTGCTTTATGTAATTGCATATCTAGTACTTAATTGTCTAATAAATAAAGACAAAAATATATTAAAAGGATGTTAGCCATTAATGTTAAAGTGATCATCAGATCTCAGATAGTAGGAGGCAAACCAAAATCACACTGGCAGTAGCCTTTACAACCTCAAGCAAAAACCTATCCAAAAAACTTGTAAGACCAATAGTCACTACACATCTGTTTGGAGCTAAATTTGAGAAGTGCTGTTAAGCAACTGTTTTCCCTTTTAGACATCTAAGACTGATACTTAGGCAAAGCTGGCAGTTATATACTCCAGGCTCAGCTGCTGTCTAAGTCACCTTGACGCATATGGCTACATCCATACTAATAGCTAACTGTGCCAGGGGAAGTTCATAGGCACTGAAACTCAAACCTTCTATTCTCTTATATGGTCGGAGTGGGGTTTGACTTATTTTGGGTCTGGATCCACCATCGTCATCCCAAACATTTCCCTGGCTTGGTTCAGGACTTTGCACAAACCAGAGACTGTCTCCACATGACGGCATTGGTGTGGACACCCTCCTTGCAGGCTAGAAGAGCTTAATGGTATGGATTTGAGTATGGCTGCAGAGTCAAAGGTAGGTTTGGGGAACACTTAACTTCCTTTTCTAGACATGGCCTAGGTATATGGGAGGGAAATTCCAATGGAAATACCCCATCACTTTCTGCTTTGAGGCATGCATAAATTTGCACCCAGTTCCTGG